ATGAAATTAGTTTTTACATTTTAATAAAAAAAATTTTTTGTAAAATTTTAATATAAAAATCATTTTTATTATTATTTAATCTTATTTATCTTAATACTGTTCTTTATCTTAAATTAATACAATAATTGGTTTATTTTATTTTATATTACACCTGATCTTATAGGTGTATTATAATACATATATTCAAAATAATAAAAATTATTTAAAAATTCTTTATGTATTATAATTAGTTGTTTTTCATTATTAATTAAGATAAAATACTTGTTATCTGTATCATATTAGTATAATTAAAAGGTCATTAGCATTTGCATAACATATTGTTGTATAAAAAAATACAAATTGATACTGAACAGTGTAAACTCATAATAAATCCTTATAAATATCTAAATTATAAGAACAAAAAAGATAAAAACTCACTTAAAAGACCCAAATAAAAAGGTAATCTAAATCTTTAATAATACTATTATAAAAACTAAACTTAAGAAACAGTACTAAAATTTGTAAAACTAGGTAAAATATTAATCTTTAGAAAGGAATTATTATAACAAATTAGATCATTAAAACTCTTTAAAGAAAAAAATTATATGACAAAAAATATATAAATCAAAAATATAATCATATCTATCTTTTTGAACTATCTAAACTAGAAACTTAATAGAACTTAAATTAAATACCTAATAATAGAAATATATTATAAAGTAAGTATAAAAATTTAAATAAATTTTACAAAACTATAATAGTTTGATGGTTAATTTTGACTGCAAATGTTGATTTCAATTATAATATTATCAGATCAGTTATAAGAATAAGATACAGAAAATTCTAAAAATTTAATACAAAGTCAAAGGTTTTTTATATAATAAACTGCTTCAAAGACTTAGTAACTATGACATATTTGCATCAGTAACAACTAGAACATCTTGGTAGATGTAAGTAAATGGATGAATAAGAGAACTAGAATGTTTGAATAGGAAACTTACAAGCAGGTTCCAAGTATGACAACTAGTATAGAACTTTTGGGTGAACTACTTAATTTAAACAATAACTAAAATTGTATGAGTGACTAATTGTAAACTTTTTTCATGATTGCTCCTATGATTGTAATGCAACCATTAACTGAATGTACTATCAATAAAATTCTAGGTTACAAGTACTCATCTTAATACGTATTTAAAAAAAAAAGATATAACAATTGTGATGTCGAAAACACTGATTAGGGTTCTGCATGGGCTGTTCTGGACGAAGTTCAGAATCAACCTATAATTAATTGAATAGATCCAAGCCCAGAAATCAGATTAATCATGGATCCATGATTGGAATAAGCCCGGCCCATATTGGACCAATCCATGGATGCTATATGGATAGTCCAGCCCATGCGAAACCCTACTACTGGTGCGATTTAGTAAAACCGAAAAATCATTACTATAAAATAACTAGATATTATCCGACACTTCCTATGTAAACACCTGACGTTTTTCATATAAATTATTCGTCACTTTCTAATCACCAATGCACAAATTTTCGTTCATGTTATCTTTGATGATACACAAATTTTCATCAATTTATATTCTAAGCATGCAAAGTTACAAACTAAATATTCCGAATTAATAAGAAAAAAAGATGTGAAAATTCTTTTACCGAATTTGTTACAATAGAAAGGTATCTGAGTTCAAGTTACGAAGTAGTTTGGAAAGAGTGGACGAAGTGTGAACGTAATTAGAATGTTCTCATGTATATGAAAAAGGTCAGTGTTTACGTCAGAAGCATTGGATAACCGTGTTATTAAATTGCAGCCGATAAATCTGATTATTGTCGGGATTTATAACGCGTTAAATCCCAACAATAAATCAGTTATCGTCTACAAAATAACTACGTAACTTTATAGTTAATTACAAATAATATTAAAATTGTTTGTTTTTTATAATATAATTAAAATGTTAGAAATTAATTTCAAATTTCTATTAATTAAAAATTATAATTTTTAAAAAACAAATACATATAGTGTATATATTAATAACGATAAGATATTTGCTAAAACATGTCAAAAATTGGCAAATTAATCATTAGTGCGGGATGTTTTAAATAAATATGTTCTACAATTTCAAAAACCCAACACAAATCTTTATATACAAAACTTATGAAAGGTAAATCATATAATAGTTGCCAAACCACCATAGGTACGTTTTATGATAAACGTTTATTAATTCTCGTGTTTTTATTAATTCTTATGCTGTTAAAATCTAATACCAATTTGATAAAAAACACTAAACTATTACAGAAAATTTTTTAGAATATAATGTTTAGCACAAGAACAAAATGTAAAAACCTTCAATGATACAAACCTAAGCGCCGTGGTTATGTTTATCTGATTGGACTACAACTTTAATTAATTAAAAGCTTTCAAGAACTCTATAGATAACGATCATATTTTGAGCGATTCGTTATACATCATTTATTTTTTTTCAATTATTTATATAGTCATCTACAATTTTTTTGGTTTGCATTAAATAAATTTGACGTACAGTACATATAATCGGTATAAATTTTAAACTCACGTACGTGCATTAAAAGATGGTCGTTTGAAAACGATATCTAACAAATATACACCTCATCGCACATATAATTGCATATTTTGATGCCAAAATTAAACACCTTGATTTCAAATTACAACTAGTAAGATGTTTAAGGTTTTCTGCTAAACGTTTTTCCGAAAGACGTTATGTCGATACTGGCTAAATTGGTCTCATAGGAAGACTTTCGTATTATTGGCTGTTTAAATCAGTTTAATTTTTTTTAAGTTTACATTATTTATACAGTTTAAAGTATTTAAAAAATTAAAACTACGAAGAATAAACAAAAAAGCAGTATGTAGAAAGTTTTATTGGGGTTGTAGGACTCCACTATTTAAAATAATCAAAATTCCTTTTTGTTTTAGAGAAGTTAGAATAGTAATAACTTAATTCTACCTATATTTGAGAAGTCGCTATTATGCTAACTTCTCTAAAACCAGGAATGATTTTGATTATTTTTAATGGTTGAGTTCTACGCAACCCTAATAAAACTTTTTATATGGTTCTTTTTGGTTTATTCTTCGTAGTTTTTTTTTTTTTTTAAAAAAAAAAAAAAGTACTTTAAACTGTATAAATAATGTAAAATTAAAAAAAAATTAAAAAAATTAAAAAAAATTAAATTGATTTAAACAGCCAATCATACGAAAGCCTTCCTATGAAAATTGGTCTGCATTGAGAGAATACGACTTTGTCTGAAAATTTGTGTATTCTTAGACTGTTCAGAGTTGAACAGTGGGAATGTTTCAGAATTAATGATTTGACATCTATCTGATTTTAGATAATTTAGATAAAGTGATTTATAAATCATTTTTTAAAAGTATATATGTACTTGTTTTACATAATCGCTTATCGGTAATTGATTTGTTGATTCGGAGTATAAAACAGACATTAGATTTTTTTTAAACTCAATTATTTTTAAAATAAGTTGATTTTAAAACACCCTCAGTCGTTTAGTCCTCGAAATTAACAAGCCAATAATAACACAGATATTCATATGATTAAAGTTTACCAATGAAGTTTAATCAAATATTCTGTTTGAGCACAATGCATCGACATTAAACAGCTGATCAACCCTAATACTACTTAACATTAAGGCTTTTGTTTTGTTTTGTTTTGATTTTTTTTTTTTTTGGAATAAGTAAAAATAATGAATCTATTTTTAGTAATAACCGTATGCTTTTTTTGTATATAATTAATATAATATTAATTAATATTAAGTATTACAAAAATTTCATCAACCATTTCCAATTACATTGGTTTATAAAAAAAAAGTTATAATCCGTTTGATTGATTCAAATAATTGATTTTGGTTATGTGAACTGAACTCAAGATTAATCTCAAATTAGCTTTTTAAAATTAAAATTAAATAAATTTTCTTATCAACTTATCAATATTGTCACATTTTCACACTAATGCTAATATTTCACAATTTTTACGCCCTCATTATTAGATTGTGCAGGCCAAAAGGTTACACACCGAGATTAGTGCATTAAATAGAAATAGGAAATTATATTCAAACACCTATTTTTATTATCTGTACCTTTCATGTACACTTACGAAGTTTTTCTGGTTTGTATTGTATTATTAACGACTACAATAAAATTAACCTTTGTGATAAAATGGATCCAGAGAAGTTTCGTAATAGAGTTCAAAAAATTGTATGGGAGTACAGATAGAAAAAAATAGCACCACAACTGAAGCATTATATGCATATAGTATTATTTCTAACACTTTTATTTGTTGTCAAAATAAAATTGAAACAAAATGATCCATAATGTGTTCTTTCTGCCAAGTATAATGATGATATGGCTAAAATGCATACAGTTTGTGAAAGTATTTATCAGTATTTATCCTTTAATTTGTAATGATTTGACTTTTTTTTACCAATTATAGACGTAATTTTCTGGTCACCAAGTGTTCGTCCATGTTGATATGCGTAAAAAGTTAATTTTGTAACTGTAATTTCGGTAATTAATTGACCAATAGTTTCAACATATGAACACATACATTGTTGCTTTGTAAATACATTACATCTTTTGTACCCAATTAAGAAATATTTGAAACTAAACTGTTAGAAAGTAATGTTTTAATGTCTCCGTATGTTCCGACGCGACAGAGTCGTACATATAGTCGTACATGTGGTCGTACGAATGTACCAACCACATCTTATGGATAAGTACATTTATTCCATTAACCGAAGTTATCTTGCTATTTATAAAACACGAAAACATTACACAGAACACACGTCTATGTAAACATATGAATCTCTTCTAATTACTATATAACGGTAAATTATGGTCTAATATGGAAAATACAAATCGATCAAACAAAAAAAAAAAAAATCTTAAATAAATGTCTGAGGCCTTATTATAAAAAAAAAGAAAACCGCACTTTCCTAGAAATAGCATATTTCACTTTACATAGTCAAAAATGGTTCCCAATAAAGTTTTACGATTATTTAGCAAGGTAATGAATCTTTTTACGGTACATACATTTGATAACTCTCTATTAATTTTTTTTTATTTTTTATTTTCATTATTTACAATAAATAGAAACAAGACAATTCTATAGACAATTCATATATACGAAAGCCTTATAAAGTAGAATGGATAAAACAACATGAAACAAAAGAAAGTAGTGCAAGTATAAATTCTCGAAATCCATCAAAAGTTGATGACCTTGATTCTTCAGCTAATTGGAGAAGACACCGGAGTACACCACTCCCGGTTGATCCAAGAAGATTGGCAATAATTGGTGGTTATGAACATAAACGGAATAATTCTGATGGCGGTGAATGGAATCAGTATGAACAAACTTTATCTGACAAAAAAAAATACGATATTTATTCGGGAAAAGAACAATTTGCGAATGAAATTCGTAGAAAAAACGCTAACAATCATCAATTCGTACCAATACTACCTATCACAAAAACAAATGCAAAACCTATATTGAATAGGAATACAAAACCTATCGAGAATTCAAACAAAAATGCTGAACCCATCGAGAATTCATACAAAAATGCACCCATCGAGAATTCATACAAAAATGTACCCATCGAGAATTCATACAAAAATGCACCTATCAAGGATTCATACAAAAGTGCACCTATCAAGGATTCATACAAAAGTGCACCCATCGAGAATTCATACAAAAGTGCACCCATCGAGAATTCATACAAAAGTGCACCCATCGAGAATTCATACAAAAGTGCACCTATCAAGGATTCATACAAAAGTGCACCTATCGAGGATTCATACAAAAGTGCACCTATCGAGAATTCATACAAAAATGCTGAATCTATCAAGAAAGCAAATGGAAAGCCTATTGAGAATTCTAACCCTATTGTGGATGAGAATGCTAATTCTAAATATACTAGATTTGATAATAAATCTGATGTTTCTCAATCTTCTCAGTCTTCCCAATCTTCTCAATCTTCTCAACTTTCACCCAAAAATTGTCCAACATGTGAAAGTCCAATCGCCGATACTGGTTATTATACTCAATGGTGTTCTACTTGTCAATCAAAACATTTTGAAAGGAGATTCAGTTCATGGTCAAGCGGCAATAACGACATAGACATGTTCATCCTAGAAACACAACTTTCTTCTCCGAGTCGGTTTGACTATTTAGAATGGATACCCTTTGATAGATTCAAAGGTGTTCAATTCATTGGGTCAGGAGGATATGGAAATGTTTATCAAGCTATTTGGCTTGATGGTCCACGCGAAAAATGGGATAATAAAACTGCTCGATATGTTAGATGTGGCAAGAAGCACGTTGCATTAAGGTCCTTTAATAATTTGAGCATTGATTCTAACCTTTTTACCGAAGTATGTATACAATATGTTTAATAATAATAATAATATTATTATTATTATTATTATTATTACACGTCACTTTCGACGTGTATTATGATTATCAGGAATGATGATGTTATCTATACTCTTTTATTAGCATCATCCCTGACAATGATTATTATTAAATTTAAACGCTTTTGAAATATACTAATACTTAACTTATTTCTTTTCTTTTCCAGTTAGCCAAATTTTTAGGCTCTGAAAATAATAGTGGTGCTTATGTATGCCGATATTATGGAATCACACGAGATCCCTTCTCAGACAACTACATGTTGGTTGGCCAATACGCGCGTGATGGCAATTTAAGAAAATACTATGAACAAAATTCTGCATCTATAACTTGGCAAAAAAGATTAGATATCTTATACGGTATTGCCATAGGTCTCATGCGTATCCATAAAAAAGATCTAGTTCATAACAATTTACATAGTGGCAACGTACTTATTCACTCATCAATGACTCTTTTGGGTGACATAAAACTTCCCATCCTACTTAAGGATAGTTTACCAGTTAATGATGGTGCATATGGTGTTTTACCTTACATGGCTCCCGAAATCTTACGAAATCAACAATCTACAACAGGATCTGATATTTATAGCTTTGGAATCATAATGTGGGAATTGGCATTTGGCAAAAAACCGTTTTCTGATCGTGCTCATGATTTAAATCTTGCTATTGATATCTGCAAAGGTATTCACCCAGATTTCGAATATGAAATTCCTGAATGTTATACTAGTCTCATAAGACGTTGTCTAGATATTGATCCATCAGCGCGTCCTGATGCTGAACAACTTTATAGAACACTTGGTGAATGGTTGTGCATGATAAATGTTCCCAGTTCTGATGTTGCAAAACAGTTCAATGAAGCTGTGGAGAGACAAATAGAGCAGCAAAACTCATCCAATGATAAGTCGTCTTTGAAAGGCGCTCATCCGGAAGCTGTGTATATTAGTAGAAGTTACAAATTCAAAAGTCTTGAATTTCCGACTATAATATTTACTAGAACCAATGAGCAGAGAGAACAGTTGGCTGTACGACAGTATATGGCAAATGAAACTAGACTTTATAATATTAAATTAGAGATGATCCGTGCGGAAAATTCTGTCATTGCTGCTGAAATTTATGAAATATTGCAATATTTGTGATTAATATTTGCATGACAAAAATTATTAGAACATATTTGTATTTTTAGAACTATATTATTATTATTATTATTGTTATTATTATATATTATTATTATTATTATTATTTAGTATTGAAACCTAAATGTGTAGTACATATTAGTATTACCAAGAGAAAATTTGATTTCGGGTTTTTAAGTTTATCATTTATTATTTACCAGATTCATCCTGACGTCTCATTACGTATACGTAATTAAATTTGTTATATATTGTTAACAGAGTTGAGTTGAATCTGGTAAATAATAAATAATAATTTGAAGTTTCATTTTCCCTTTGTAGCACTCATATACAATAGATTATATATTACAAATTATAAAATTATTCGTTTAATAAGTCTTATATATTAAATCATTTAGATATAATCATAGTGTCACATGCATGTAACACTATGTTTAAATTGTTTACGTAATAAAATAATTATCACTATTTGCAAAAAGGTATAATCTTTATAATGTTGTGTTAATAATGTCAAGGAATCAAATAAGTAATACGTATAAATCATGTACGTAGCATATTGTCAATGTGTTCGTTGGTGGTGCAGATCTCCCATCTCCCGAATTACAAATTAGATTTCAAGATTAGGTGTAACGTAACACGATTAAGAGATTCAAAACAAACGTTCGTTCTGCCATAGCTCAAAAATTAGCACAAGAAACCACATTTTGTGCTCTAACAAAAACTTTTCCTTGAACAATTTCACTATATAAAATATTTCCCTCTAGATCCTAACTTTGACCCTAACCTTAACTTAACGAATTTTAAGAATTTAGTCTTCGTCGCCAACTTTGTACACACTTACGATATGCAATCATATAAATATTAAAAAAATACGTACTTACGTACGTACATAAATAATATTAACAAATATAAATTTAAATATACATTGTCAATCAGTAATTTTTAAACGGTCGGAGATTTTTCGTCTATTCGTCAAATTTCATTGGCTGAGTTTATGAATTCAACTTTAAAATGGTGTTTGCTTAAAAAAAAATCAGGTTACATAACCGTATAATTTTGCGTACTGTTGTATTATTTACTGGACTTAGCTCTCTAATTGGCAACACATACGTAATTAAATTAAATTAGTACTGCCATAACTTTAAGTATGTATACGTATGCGTAATCAATCAGATTAGGACTTAATTTATGTGTAATATGATACGAAGATGATTATCACAGATCATATTTCATAGCGATAGTTTATCAAGAAATTTTAATTATACATACCATAGCATCCAAAATTCCCGTACAACGTGGCCTAAAATACCCACCAGTTAGATTGTATATACGCGTATTATAGTCGGAGAGATGCTATGGTTAACGTAGTAGGTATAAGTTGCATATTTTTATATTCCAAGTGCAAGCTATCCGTCTTTAGTACCCCGAGTATATTGCAATTTATTCATCTTTAGCATTGTGTATACACTTCACTCTCGTTATAGTGAACTTCCATTATAATGAAGATCGGTTTATAATGAATTATTTTTTTTAAAACAAATCCAAATATATTAAATAATCACTTGATATTATAAAGTTATCATAGTAAACTCTTGTAATAAAAATTGTTTTCGAATGAATAATAGCCAATTGAATGAAAAAATCAAATGATTATATGCTCATGTATTATAGTAAAGATTTTGAGGTTATTTTTTCTAGTTGGTGTATACGTATAAATATGTAGTTTTTGTAAAAGTAAATTCTTATAGTATATAATTGTTAAGATTAAACAATATATATACTTTTTTAAACTTGGTAGCAAAGTCAGTCTAAATTTTATTAGATATAAAAAGTCTATATTACAAGATTTTAAAACTAATTTTATCATTTATTATTAGATTATCTTAATTTAATACAAAATATTTATTTTTTTATTTATTTATTTCTAAATATACTTAGATATATTTTGCTATATTACTTTGTGTATTATAGTTAAAAATACAGTATATTATTTATTATGTAATTTATTAAAAAAAAAGTAATAATAGTTTATTACATTTTTATAAGTTTTAAATTTTGATTGTATTTTGTAATTATACAATATTATATATAGTAATTATATATATATAATAATAATCCTGTAATAATAATATATAAAAAAATTAAAAATATGTTAATTTGATATAATAAATAAGTTATTAATTTTCAAGTAATGGATTTAATGTTTAAATTCTATTTATAATAAATTTAAAATTATATCTGTAGAACTCTTTTTATCAATCACTTATACAAAATTTAACTTAAATTTTGCTCATATAAAACTATTAATATTTTAAAATTTTATTATATAAATAAACTTTAATGTTTTAAGCAAAGTTGTTCATATCAAAATTTTATATATATTTTTAAAATCTTATACTATTATCTTTTAAACTTATTAAAAAAATACAAAAAAATATTTTTGAATTATTTTTTTTATTGATATTAAGGTGAGGACTTGCTTATACCTTTATTAGTAATTTTAGTTATATATATATATTAAAAATATACTAAAATTGTAAAATACAAAATAAAAACTCACACACCGAACTCTCCCCTGTAGATCTCTCGACCGAAATTTACAGGAAGCAAAACACAAGATAATATTAAAACACACAATTAAAAAGTACTTAGAGCACTAAGAAAAAGATAAGAAAACACAGAAATACAGCTGACTAACTTGG